TCATCTCAATCCGATGCACATTTGAATGGTAAAATGGACTGTATGTCCTGACCCAGCATAATCATTTTGCAATAAAGATAACTGCTGCCTTATCAACAAAAGAATCAAGGAATGACAGCTGGAGAATATTTCTTACTCACCGGACTCATTTCCAAATGTAGAATTTATGTATTGCTTTTTTCTAGTCACCTAGTCACTATTTTTGTGAGTTACCTTTTTAAAAAATTGTACTTCAAACAGTAATTTAACAGTAGTTTATTTTCCCATACTTTTAGTTATTATATTCTACTTGAATGACTATGTGATAAAAGCTTTATGTTGACACCTTTACAGAAGACCTATTGTGCTTGTGTCTGCTGTATAGTAATAATCTATGACACCATGATCATTATGTTATATTCTGGACATTAGAAATGACAACATTCATCTAAAATGCAAAAACAAGCCCATTAACTTCCACATTAGAAAACTGGTGATCAATGGGAGCAGACATCGCTGTAAAAGTCATCATAACAAAGAGTCAGCACCTCTGATGGATAGCTGCACATCACATTTTAAAAGATTTATACTAACCTTACTATGTGGTGCTGCTTAACCCTATGTGTATCACTGGTTAAGAAAATGTTATTGTATAATGAAGCTAGTACAGGGCTGTGGCCGTATACTAGGGATGTAACAATAACCCATCACAATATATTGAATTACCAGTCTCTTTGCTTAAATTAAGAGTTATGATGCAGCAATAGCTAAAAAAAAAAAAAAAAAAAAAAAAAAAAAGACAGAGGAGACTACATAGACCATGATAGTTTGCTCTATTTCAGTGTAGACTATAATAGATAATAGAACAGTTCTAAGCGCTTTAAATCTTAGTTCTTTGGATTAAGTCTTGTCAAGGCATTTTAAGAGGAAAAAGTAGCATATTCAGTTTTGTTAGCCTCCAAAAAATGTTGCAATAAATATTGTATCGTGAGATGTATATCATGAAAATATTGTACAGAGAGATTTTACATCCCTAATCATGAGCTTCCCCACGATATCACAATAAATATCGTACTATGAGGTTCATACTGTGATCACCAAATAGCATCTTGAAAATAAGCTGTTAAAGATGACTCAAACATGCATGAATCACTCCAAATACATCTTTGGGTGAGTAACTGATGAATGGAAACAACTATAACATGGTTAAAAGCTCTGAAAAGTCAATTTTGCATAATAGGTCTGCTGAGAAAAATAATAAAAGAAAAGACATTGAGCGCTTAAGGTATCTCTTTCCCCATAACTCATTAACAACTGTATCAGCCTTTTAATCTCTCTGTTCATTCTTTCTTTTGTACCACACCTTTATGTTTGGGTAGATGTTTTCATTAGAGCAAGTACAGCTCCAAACATGCTCACTCATTCAGCGTACTGCAGTTCAGCGCTTTTAAATAGGCTCTTTCAGATCCAAACAACAGAAATGAGTTAGATAAACCTATCACCAAAGCAGGTGTTCATGGGACAACTCGTGACACCCCTCTGACCTGCTCCCACCTCCTCCCAACACCTTGTACACAAACACAGGTGCGTGTGTTGGGATAGTAGACAGGTGATTTGAAAGCACACTGTAAAAGTTACACGTATAAACATAGAATAAGGTCAAACTGTAAAAAAGTTGTTGGATGTTGTTGGAACGTAGAGGGATGATAATAACTGCAGAAGCAACATTTTCTGTGTTCATCAATCTTAACATAAAAATAAACTGGAATAGTAATGCCTGCATATTACAGTTGTAAAAACTATCTATAATCTATATATATCTATATATCTATCTATCTATCTATCTATCTATCTATCTATCTATCTATATCTATATATATATATATATATATATATATATATATTGTGTGTGTGTGTGTGTGTGTGTGTGTGTGTGTATATATATATATATATATATATATATAGATAGATAGATAGATAGATATAGATATAGATATATAGATAGTTGTTTTGAATTTCCCTTGGGATCAATAAAGTGTCTATATTTTCTTCTATGTAAATCTCACTTTTTATTGAATTTCTGTGACACCAATGGAAAAATGGGGCGTTCTCTAAATAAGTGGGGCAAGGGACAGAGGCCTAAAGGACTGTACTGGACCACCAAAAGAAGGTCAGGTCACCCTATATTAGAAGCAGGCAAAATGACTTTGAAGTTTCCAATTGTGATCAGAATATATATCCTAAATTGTGGCTCTTTTGTGATAGTCTGGTTCCCAAAGCATTACAGGGGGTCCCCAAACGCTTTCAAGAAAATATAATAAAATTAGAAGCAAGAAAGAAACATTTTAAAACAACTTTGCTTAAGATATTTGTTTATATTTGTTTATATTTGTATTTTATCATGTATATTTAAGGTGAAACATTACATTATATTACATATTCTTTTATATGTAGTGGAAAATATTATTAGGGGGGGCTCTGTGTGATCTTTGCAACACATCTGATTTTGGAAATGGCTGTTGTAGTCAGTAGTATAGCCTTCTTTCAAAATGTTGACCAGATTGCTGAAGAAATTAAGTCTATTTTTACTTGATAGAAGACCTATGTGTAATTAATTATGTACAAATAAATGCGATTTGCAGATTAGCCAGGTGGCCATAATGTTATACCTGTCTGGTACACCTCCAGCATCTCTGACATATCCATGTAGCTACGGAGCTCAGAGATCACGCTTCATTTGTTTAGTGTAAAAACAGATGCTATAAAACCCAAGCGTGTGTGTGTGTGTGCTTAGTTTAAGCAGGTGTTTTAAAATGGAGAGTGGTTCCTGGAGTGAGATAAGTGAAGTCAATGGTTTACTCAGCCTTGCATTTGCCCTGGTTGAACAAACATGCCTGTCTCTCGTGTGTGTGTGTGCGTGCGTGTGTGTGTGCATGTGGTGGGATTGTGTCGTTGAGGTGATGGGGAAGAGACAGTGTCCGGGCTTGTAAACAGATGGTCAGCCTGTCTGCTCCTCTAAAGTCTCCATTGAAGGGAAACCAGACAAATAATAAAAATAAGAGCATTGTGAGCTCCAGGGCGCCTGACAGGAAGTCCCTGTCAGCATTATACACAGCCAGGGTGTGGGTCTGTGTGTGCTTGTCTGTTTGGGGGAATAGCATGTTATTTGTATTCTCATACACCACACAACAGGGATTAAACTAGGATTTAACCAGTGCTAGACCAATCCAGGACTAAACTGGGATTAAACCTGTACTTTAAGGATCACTCAAGGTCTAAACCAGAAGTAAACCAGGTTTAAACTATGATGGAACTATGAGGCTGGACAATGCAAAAGAAAAGAAAATCATATTAACCCATCACAATTTCAGTTTTATTTTATATTGTCTTATTCAAACAACTTAAAATTGCTTTCAGTATTAATTTCCTGAACATAAATGAGATAAAAGCAGGACCAAACTGAGTCTAAAGCAGACTAAACCAAGGATGAAGCGAGACAGACTGGAGCAGTCAAAAAAGGATTGCAAATTTACAGACAGTTACGTATTGCATTAGTGATACAAAAAACTAAGATCCTGTTCAGAGTGCACAATTTAAACACATAAAAACACATTAAAACATTAACATTTGAGATATGAACTGCTCAAGTAATTCATTTCTTGACTAAAGAGTTTGCAGTATTTATTTTTTTTCATAAAGACAGACAGGAAACATTGCAGACACCATTCTAAATAATTGCAGCCTTTGCTATTTCGATTCAATTGCGAAACATTGTCCTAACCACCATAAATACCAGGAGTAAATCTAAGATATAAGACCAGGTGTTGGAGGTCCAGTAATACTGATCTTTACAACTAATACAGCTGCAATTACTATCACAAGTTTATCTGTTCTCCTTAAGTCCTGTTTGAAGGGAAACCAGACAAATCTCAGAAATAGGAGCTTTGTTTGCAGTGTGCGTGACAGGAAGTCCCAGTCAGCACTACCAGTTTGTATTTTGTTGTGTGTTTCTGTGTCTGTCTCTATGTGAAAATGCGGAGTAAGACGCCGCGGTGCAGATAAATGACTGCTCGACTGAACCAGATTAGACACAGAGCTTGAACAAAAGCTCTTCTCAAATCTATTTTAGATTTGACAAGGTTGAATTATAGAAGAATCTATGAATGTTACCGATCCACATTATAAGAAACTGGGTCCTGGGGAGATGTTATTATTGTTACTAATATTTTAGGTTATTTTTCAAAAGCAATAAAATCTGATGAAATTGAATGGTCTCTCTAGTATTTTCTCTATTGCATTTTGGGTTGCTTGCACATGAATTGTTCTTTATAAATACAATTGCCTTGCCTATAGTAAAGCTCTACCAGTTGCCAATCCCCCATTGACATAAGGTTGTCTCTTAATGCATTATAAAAAACGCTGTTTTGTTCAAATCATTGTATTAAATATTCTTTTGATGATTGCATGGAATATCCCTATAGCACTGAAAAGTCCCTTTTCCATTCCCTACTGTTGAGAAACTTTTCATATTTGAGCACTCTTTGTTGAAAGATGAAGCAAGAAATTGGTGACTGGACTTGATAATTCAGACATTGTTAATGGCTCCAGTATATCAGTGGTGAAATGTAAATAGTAATTTCTCCTCAAATAATTTGACTCTGTAAAGTAAAACATGCAGAGTTTAAGAAGAATATATTGTATAAGTTGGAACAGTAATATTTGGGGTCAATATTTATCGTGGTTACTTTTTCTTTGTACTTATGTGGAAGTTTTTGTTATATTTCTAAAACTTCTATGATAAGATTTGAGTTGTAGAGGTGTGAATAAATAACTTGACTCATGACTTAGTTACTTCAGCTTATGTTCATTAACAATACTGTACATAACAGAGGAAGAACTCCTACTTTAGGGTTATAGTTACTGTATATGTCTGTGGTATATTTGTGTGTAATATTGTTTTGAGGTAACAGCACAGTTCTGCAATCCTAACCATGGCACACTTTGTTTTTCTATTTTCACAGCTGACTCTGCTGCCGAACCTGACTTTGGTCAATCAGTGGACTCTGAAGCTCCCTGCGCTCGAGTCGGTTCACCACATCATGACCTTTGACCCCACTGACAGAAACTTCCTCTATGTCATGACATCGAACCATGTAAGAATGCAGTCCCTGTCTTTGCATGCTTATTCTCCTTTTACGGTCGTATGATTAATATTTATGGACACCCACTGGAGAGATGATTCACTGTGAAAACATGCTATTAAATTACTCAGGTGGTCAAGTCACTAGATTCAAAACAGGCTTAAACAAACACAGACAAAAGAGTCAAGTTTTTGTCTGTATAGTAGTAGTATAGTGTAGTATAGTGTTATAGTGTAGTGTGTTGTGTGTATAGTGTACAAACTGGATGTTCATTTGTAAGTATCAATAAAAAAAAAATAAAAAAATCTGGATCAAATCATCTATTTTTATCTTTTATTGTCATTGTGATATTAGTATTGAGGCTTGAGCCACTTCCTTAGTAGGGATGTAAAGATATCGCAATCTCTTGGTACGATATTTTCGTGATATACATCTCACAGTACGATATTTATTGCGATATTTTGTGGAGGCTAACAAAGTTGTGAATATGCTACTTTTTCCTCTTAATAGGAAGACTTAATCCAAATAACTAAGCCTTAAAAGTGCTTAGAACTGTTATTTCTTCATGTAGTTTGCACTAAGACAGAGCAAAGGATCATGGTTGATGTAGTTCCCTCAGCTTTTTTAGCTATTGCTGCACCAGCTATGAATTTAAGCAAAGAGACTTGTAATTCGATATATTGTGATGGCCCACGATATTATTGAGAGACTTTTGACGATACGATATCACAATATTTTGGTAACTGTCACACCCCTATTCCTTAGTATCGAAATCAACTCTGAAATTTTAGTACTGTGACACTTCTTTGAACCATTGTTGCATAAGTTCTGTTTATTGTTTGGTATAGGTCATGCTTGTGATAAGATGCAGTTTTACGTCTAGCTCTTTTTCTCTGTGCATGAATCGGTTCTATGCAGGCGACCACAAAACTAAATAGCTGTTTTCTCTCTAACAGAAGCTGTGAATGCAAGCTTTCATGTGGCCTTTAAATCAGACACAATTGCACTTTTATTGCTTACAGTTTAATCTGTAGATCTGGGACAGTGGTACACGCTCATTATTTATCTGTAGGAAGTATTTATCATGACATTTAAAATTGCCAGTGTTGTAATTTTGCTTTGACTTTTCTGTGCTGGTGTCACTGCAAATTATCTGCCTCTTATATGAAGTTCATATATTTATGCCAGATGCCCTCCCTGAGTGGCCCCAACATATACTCTTGGGACTGCTAATAAATGGATTGGTTTTGGTCATATTTACTGTACATATTGTGATGCTATTGAAATAAGTTTTTAAATTATTTTTGGTGATGTCCGAAGCATGATCAAAAATAACACAAAATCTATTTAAACACACATTAAACAGATTTCTCCAAAAATCATTTCAAGAAAAAGAGTACATTCGCTGATTTTGTTTTGTTTTGTGCAGATGCTGAGGGTGAAGGTGGCGCAGTGTGACCAGTGGAAGAGCTGTGGTGACTGTTTAGGAGCTGGAGATGCCCACTGTGGCTGGTGCACTCTGGAAAACAGGTAAGCTCCGCATGTGTGTTTGTGTATTGATTGTTCTGTAGAGAAATTCTGGGAGAATATCTAATTCACATTTTTGTTAGGCTTAGACTTAGTCAAATGAAAGTTTTGGAAAAGGTATGGAATTTTAGTATCTCTTTCATGCAACTACAGTTCTGTTAAGTTATCATTAGGCTGTTATGATTATTTATGAACGTCTGTGCCTTTTGTTTAAAAGAGACGACAATAAATACACTGACATTATTCTGAATGTTAAGAAACTATAATACCAAACCATAAGGTGAGTGGAAAGGGTGGAAACATTTCATATTTAGCCCTAAAAGTATGATCAATTCTACATATGTAGGGTGCTGTAAAGTCATGGAAAATTCACTTTAGGCCATGGAAAAGTCATGGAAAAATTTTGAAATTTTCTCAGTGCAAGAATATAGAGAACCATGCAACATTTTGGCAGTAGGCCTTCACCTTCCCTGTTTGCCTGATGAAGGCCTAGTACTGAAACGTTGCACGGTTGGTCCTAATAAATCTCACAATTTGCAAGTAAGATGGTGTGCAGGATTTTTCTCTATGTTCTTGGTCTGCTCCCTCTCCTCCGACGCCCCATCTCTAGTAATTGATGTGTGAAGTTCTCATTCTTTGAAATTTTGTCAGTGAAAAAGAGTGGGATCCCTGTATATAAATGAAGATGTACAAGTAAAAAAAAAAAAAAAAAAAAAAAAAAAAAAAAAATAGTGATACAAATGCCAAAACACTGCCATTAGAATTCATGTTTTTATTATGTTCTGTAACGCTTTGGTTAACCTGTGTTGTTTTTAAAATGTGTTATAAATAAAGTTGCAGTTGCAGTATTACAATATTCTGTACACATTTGACACACATGTAACTATGGCTGTAGCCTAAACTAAACTAATTCTTGGTCGACTAAAGTCATGTCGTGCTGATTGATTACCTGAGTAGGGAGAGGGGGCAAAAGCTCTGGAAACTTATTGCCTATTTTCATGTCCTTCTCCTTTCTGCTGTTGTCACATAATTGCTTATAATTTAAATAAAATTATTAGTCAATAAAAAAATTCGGTTCACTGACACCATCGACCAATCAAGCAACTAAACGACTAAAGCCCTACAGCCCTACATTTAGCATTAGAGAGAAGACTGAAATAAGAACTGCTTAACTAATTTAGAAATACAGCTTTTATCAAATTCTTATCAGCACTGCTTGAAATATACAAACATTTGGAAATTTAGTTAAAACTCTTCACCTTTGTTGCAAAATGTGAAATGTTGTGGTTTTAAGTACATGTTTCGTAAAGTAGCAGCAGTATTATTCATGGTTTTCAACTTACTATTATCTGCAACATTTTAGGACTTTTCCATCATTCAACACATATAATATTTTGCTTTAAATTGTTTATCACTATGGTAACTGTATTTTTGTTCATCACTCTGAAACCTGTGGATAAGCAGAGTAAAAGTAGTTTTGATTATGATGTATTCCTCAGTATTTAAGAATTTCACTGTGGGTGATTACTGCACGTCTTGAAACTGCAATAAAATATGATTTAGAGTTGTATACTTTAGATCTGTAAAACCAATGAGGCTTGTTTTTGGGTTCTTTCTAAATCTTTATGATGCCAAGCCCAATGACTCTTGGCAGAGAAAAACACACGCCAACTAGACAGCGTTTTGGGTTAGAAGTAGTGAAATAAATTGTCTTTACATTTGCCTTGAGCCCATAGTGACACCATTGTTTTTGCCCATCCTTCAGTACTCGTATTGAGACTGACAGGCGAGGAGTGACTTGGCTGAAGTGTTACAAGAGCTTTGATTAATGTTGCTGGCTCTCGCACTCACTCACTGTGGCTTGGCAATCTGGCTCCTTCTTTTTTGGGCTGTAGTTTGTTTGTTTGTTTGACTAATAGGCCCCGGTATGGCTGGACGCTTGCTTGCTCGTGATTAAAACAGATCAGGCTGAGATAGTAGTTGGATTTCATGTTGAGCTAGAGAGGCCCCTGCATTGCCAGAGGCCATTCAAAGCGGCAAGAGAGAAACTGATGACTGTGTGTCTGTGTGTGTGCGTTTATGTGCGTGTGAGTGTGCGTGAGTGTATGTGTGTGGGCTATCCTTGTCATATTTATCTATCTGTCATTTCTTTATCCTACTCCCTTTCTCGCCTCACTGCACTTTTTTACCCATGTGATTCTCTTCTCTGTCTCACCCTCTCTTTCAGTAGCTCTGAGACTTCGGACTGTCTTTCTAGTGACAGTGGTAGCATAAATACAGAAGAAGCATTTGATGTAGTCGGAACAATACAAATATATATAGTTATCATCAACATCTAAACATGGATTCACTCACTATGGTTTTGTCTGATCTGCTGATAGTTCAGTTGAGTTGCCAATCGCCAAACAAGATCTAAGTTTGCTGTAAACAACATGTCTCTAATAAGAAAAATGTGAAGTTATACCAGGGTCGTGCAGCATCTGAATAATGATCTCATCCCTGTGGCAATATTCTATTTAATGCAGCTGTCTCCACAAACACAGGCTCTAAACTATGAGGGACTGACAGCTGGATTTAACCAATCACAGTGAAGTGTATCATCTACTTATTTCAGAAAGAAAAAGACCCGCTCCTAGGTACTTTCCAGGTACTTTCCCCCATGCTGGGGGTGTCTATGGTGAAATGTTTAGCAGTTAATATGGTGAGACAATGTCCACTTAGGAAACAAAGGTTGATACGTGTTAGAAAAGTCACAAAAAAATATAAAACTTAAATTTAAACAACACATTTCAGGATCCTGTGGTTAATACGAGCATTCATGGTCCTATTTAGCTGTTTGATTTTCAACAAAAAGGTGAGAGTGACTACCAGAAAAAAACTGTTAGCTTGTGACTTTTAATTTAATGTGTGAGAGACTTGTTTAACAACACACATCACTTCACCTGTTGTAGTTCCAACTAATTCAAATCTTTCTAGTCAGATTGTTTTTTAAAATAAAGCTCAGATTAAAGTCTAACTTAAGTAACAGAGCTTCAGACAGAGCATCACACACCTCTGGAATGCAAAATATCAATAATATTCATCTTATTGCTGCTCCCATCATCATTCGGGTTGTATTATTTTGCGTAGGGTTTATCTTTGTGGACTGCAAAGCTGTTTTAAAGCCTCACAGAGAGTCAGTGCAGTGTTGACTTGTTGGTTCACATGAACATTGAACATTTTACACAAATCATCCTACTTTATATGATATTTTAGGGGCAAAACTTGTCTCAAATTAGGGCTGAACGATCTATCATTTTGGACTGAAAATAGTGATTTCAGACAACGCAATTTTGGGAGCGTCAAAGCCACTTTTTTTTCCTTTGCTCATAAATCCCAATTTAAGGGCAAAGTATAGTTCTGCATCGACTCAACGCACACTGCCTCTGTCGCTTTGTCGCCATCGTTTTTGATTTATTCGTCTGAGCTGAGGTCTATGCGCCGCGAAGTAATTCGCCACCACAACGCGAGGAGGCAATGATTTAAAACTGGCGTTCATATAAAGTTTAACATGAACCATCTCCAACGCGATAGAAACACAGAACAGACTCACCATCATCAGCGTATTCTATGTCACAGAAAGAACACACATATTCCCCTGAGTCATGTCCTTTAGTCTGACAGAAGCTGACTGCATCAGGGCACAAGGAGCGAGCTGTTTTTTTTTAACACTTATAGTTTATACAAATGAGCCATGTGGTTTTAAGTTTCATTTCTGTAAAACATAAACAAATGTGCGCAAAGCTGCATTGAACCCATTCATTATTCAGTGTAAATTGAAAGAAAGGAAAGTGGAGTACAGGAAAGAGTACAGGAAATGTATGTAGAGCGGTGATAAAGAGGACCAATCACAGCCATTACTGTCTGCATAAACTGGGCTTTATGGTCCAGCATCAAATCATGGTGCAGGACTGGTATGATGTAAGTTTCTGTGATGTTTGCAATTGTTCATGTGCACTGAAACTTGATTTGAAAAAATTGTGGATGAAATCGAAATTGTAATATCTGCCAGAAAAATAGCAATTAAATTTTTTTCTTAAAATACTATCCTCCTTTCTTAAAAAGCTATCTCCAATTCTCCATTGAAATGAATGGGATCCCTTCACCCACAAAGAAAATGTGGTTTGGAGCATTTAAAGGCAAAAGTGGATGGAGCTGAATATGGTCAGTAACACAGCCATAGTGAACATATTTCCATAATAATTTGAGTGAGTCTGCTCTTGTAATGACTTGCTATCATCAGCGGTCATAGCTTCTTGGTCCTTGATCCAGTCTGGGATAATACAAGTGAGATAATCCAGCTTGATGTATTGAACTGCATTTCTAATGTTTCATATTTACCTGTTGCCTACTAAATCTCACATGCTGGACCTGTACAATAACATGACGTCACATAAAAACACACATTTTTCCAGAGTGCAAAACAGATGCCAAACACCCCCTCCTTTCTCTCGCTCGCTGCCCCTTTTTCGCCCCTCCCATGTCTTACCCCCATCTTTTTTGCTTCGGCTTTGAGACTTTGGTGATCTGTCTGTGTATGTCTCTGTGGCCCTTCCCTCCTCCCCCCTGGTGCCCTTGTCGTCCTCTCTATGCTTGTACAAAGAGCTGTGATTGTGATGGCGGCTGTGGGAGGGGAGAGTGCACACTGCCTCTTTTGACGATGAAATGTCAAACTCGGTAAGTCTCTGTGTCACTAAGCTGTCTCTCTCTCTCTCCCACTGATGTCATGTGTGTGGGGCTGGTCATGGAGTAGCCGCTGGGTCTCAAAATGCATACTGACCGGACAGAGAGAGGGGGGAGTGTGTGGGTGAATCTGTAAACCACTAATGTCTCTACGGGGGTCTGGGTTATGTTATGCTTTAGTCTGATGTCTCCCTTGTTCTTGGCATAAGAGCAAGTCTGTTTGTGAGAGGAGCCGGTATTGTTGTCTGAGAGAAGATGAATGACTGCAGTAGCCTCTGATC